TTAACACAATTTGTTTTCTAGGCCTGCATGGCGAGATCTGAGACCATAATATTGAAAATTTTACAAATTTAGTAGTAAGAATAATCAAATATGAAACTATCAAATCAAAATATATATATGATTTGCGGGGGTGCAAAAACTTTTGAGGGCGGTGCCAAATGCCTCTGGGGAAGATTGCAAATCATTTCTGCAACCCTCGAAATTCAACTATTTTTGCCTCGGCAAATAATTGCCGAAGCCTTTCGATAATTTTCGAGTTTGCCTCGGCAGTGCCTCGGCAATTTTTTGCCGAGGCACGCAATGAAATCGCCTTAAATTCCTTCGGCAATTACTTCGGCACCCTTCGGCATTCACGTCGGCAGTTGTAATTAACGGTAAAGTACACATACGGACATTATTGTAAACAAATATTATAACGAGCGTAGATTCCGAGACTTCTGACGTTCGACAATTTGTTGTTATTTTACTAATTCCTGATTCAAAATGTTTTTAAAAAGTTAGTGGTAATTTACAACCAACTGTATGAAAGAATAAACTTGACGGTAAAATCACGCGACAGTCTAAAAGATAAAACAAAGTTTCTCGACGTACCGTCTTTAATTAAACCATCAAGATTGTTCTTTATTTCAACTGAAGCCGACGCTGAAAAGCTCAAATTTAAATATTTTGTAAAGTAGCTATGAAATATTCTGTTGTTCACCCGACGTCGATGACAACAATTCGAACAAAGAAGTGATACAAAAACGAACACTGTAGTTTGTATATTTAAGAAGAAGAAAACGAACAGACACTGTAGTTTGTAATTTAAGGAACAGCGGGTGGAATTGCCTCGGCATTTTTTTGCCGAGGCAAACTATGAAAAATCGTAACTTGCCTCGGCATTTGCGTCGGCAATTGCCGAGGCGAATTTCGAGGGTTGTTCTGGGGGATGCGCACCCTCCCGCACCCGAAAATCCGTGCCTGTCAATCACATGTGTACTTAGTCAGTAAATTAAGGTGGTGCTAACTCGTGTTCTCTTTTATCCGCTAGACAAAACCCATGCTCAAAACAACATATTTCAAAGACCAATGGCGTCGCCGGGTCGCACTTCGTGCCAGCCTCCTTCGCCCCAGATCCCTTCACCCGGACGGCAATCGCCACAACGGTCGCCTGGCAACGCCGCGTCACCAAAATATCAACAGCACTCCTTGTACCTGAACCATCAGCATGCCTCTGCCTCGACCCAAGCTCCGATCGCGCAACTCAAACAACAGGTTGAAAACCAAGGCCAACAGTTACAGCAAATCAAATTTCAACAATTACAACAACAGCAATCGCACAACCCTCAGCGACAGCAGCAAAACGATCAAACACAACCGCAACAACACTTGCAACACCCGAAACAACCGCAATACCGTGCACAGCAGCGAATCGCCCCGGCACCAATACAACCTTCCCAACAGACAACATACCTTCTGCAACAATCGCAACCCAATCATGCGCTCTCGTTACGGTCTGCGAACGGGCAAGTGTTAAAGACGTCTAATACGGTATTTATAACAAACGATAATCCGCCGAGGGAAATACAGTTTTCGCTAAGTCGGAATGCAGCTAATCCGGTTGGATAGCCCAGGTAGATAATTTAGGTTTGTATAAAGTACGGTCAGCCTGATGGGATCTCGGATATACATTTGTACAGAAATTTTTATCCTTCGAAAAGGGCGGACAAGATCGCGTCACGGCGCATATTTTTGCGTTCTGGCCTCCTTAAAATGCGCGTGCATTCAGTACAACTTGTTTTCTAACCCCAAGAGTTTTGAAGTACCACTGATCGTTACACTACGTAGATAAGTTGTTCTGAACACTTTATCAGAATTGAGCAGAGATCTGGGTACGATATGAGAAAATCAGTTGGGCTTTTTTTTTAGGGTGACTTATAATTACCAGACCTGGAAATAGGTGGGATCTCAAGAATGTTATTAAGGAATCGTTATATCATACTACCTTATCTGTCAATTGAAACGTGTATCTTAAAGTGCGACTCAGCACAAATATGTTTTTGGTATATGTAATATTTGGGTCATTCGAAGAAATATAATATATCTTTATGGTAAAAATCCCATTTTGATCAACTTTTTCACTGTCAAAGTTTCCGGATATGATGTCATTAGGTGAATTGAAAATTAGTTTTCCTTTGTTTTTTTGTACCAAAAGTTCACCTAATGGCATCATATCTGGAAACTTTGACAATGAAAAAGTTGATCAAGATGAGGTTTTTTACTATATAAAAGATACATTACATTTCTTCTTAGAATGACCCAAATATTATACATACCAAAAATTATATTTGGGTTAGTTGCACTTGAATACAGTCAAGTATACTGTATACATCATGGTGTAATGTATGATCAGATTTTGCCATTTTGCGCACTATTGAGGAACATTTGAAAAAGGCAAATTCAGGATCCGACGAACAGTAAACACTTCTTCCAAGTCTGATAATTGTAAGAACAGATTTTTACAGGGTAACTACTTCTGCAACTGAGCTCAATCTGGGCCCTACATTGTTGCATAGAAGGCGTGGTTATTCACGTTACAATCCCATTCACTCGTATTCAACTTAAATTGCTTGGTCACCTTGTCCCATTCAATGCTCACATTATCTGAACAATGAAACCAAGCGTTTAAAGCCCGTACAGATGAGCAAGTTTCCTTGACAAGTTTACTTTCTCGTGTGTACGGTCGACAAGTTTTCCTTGACAAGTAATACCTTGACAAATTTTGCTGCTCGTTTGCAAGGAATGTTATCACATTTTGTTTGCGAAAATCATAGAATTTCTTAGTGTTCACTTGTCAAACTTTCCTTAGGTCCAAACAATGGCTTGCTAGCTTTGGAACGAGGCTCGTTGGCAAGGAAACATTGTCAATTTGTTGTCGTGCACACGAGAAAATAAAGCCCTGGGCAAACTAGGAAACATTGTTGTGGAAACATTTGTGACTCTCGATGTTTCCTCAAATGTTTCCCTGTTTGCCCACCCGTGGAAACGTTGTTGCGGAAACAAAATTTGCTTCCCGAGAAGCAAAAATGTTTCCTAGCGAATTCAGAAACATTTGATGTTTCCCTATGTTTCTCACTAATGTTTCCTAGTGTTTGCCCACTCTAGGAAACATGGCGAAACATTGGTAGGAAACAATGTTTCCCAGTTTCCTAGTTTGCCCAGGGCTTAAAACTTGTCAAGGAAAAAACTTGCCGGCTGTAGGGGACATAAGATATCACAACATGTGGGTTTAGTGACAATAAGCATAAAGTTGGCCATTAGGTCAATGCCAAAAAGTCACGAGCATTGGCCTTGGGGATTCTCAGAACATATTTTTGTAAAATTGTTGGCTGCGGAACTTGCCCCGGGAAAGAGAAAATAGACATTTTATTTTGAAGACAAAATCGGGCGAATAATGTGAGAATTGTTTACAATAATTTATATATTTGGTAGTATTGTACAAAATTAGCAATATGCACATGTACTAAAACTTCTGAAATATTTATATTGTCGATATTATAAATAGAAATAAATTTATTTGAATATTAGTATGATAGGGGTCATTAGATTTTTTGTTGTTTTTTTATAAGGCTAAAGAACATTGTGTAGGTTGCACTCTGAAAAGCCAATCACAACTAGCTAGATTCACGCTGATTGGCTGAATTGGTTGAAATTTTGTCACAAACATTGAAGTTTCACGCGAGAATGTCTTTCTAATGCGAGTGTTCATCTTTAGATGCCAACAACGGTAAACTTTACGAGTTAGCAGAAATTTTTTTTGGGATCACTTTCTTTGGGAGCTTGGTAACCGCGCCTGTTATGATGCAATATAGGAAGCCTGTACAGCAGGAAATAGATTGCGGTCGAATACTTTGACGCAAACTTATATATTCTATATTTATTTACATAACCGCTGCGTTTTGACGCATTATTCATCGCGTCTTTCCGAAAGCTTTGTACCCATAAATAAAATTCACTAAAAAGAGAACACATTACAATTTTTTTATAAAATAGATCAAAATATACCATAAATATTGAGATATTGAATTTTTTTTTACTAATGCTAGTATATAAGGTCATAAGTTCGTGCGTAATGGTATTCGAAATATATTATTAATTCGCAGTTTATTTAACCACAGTTTATAGTCTATACTAAGATACAACCTTAATCTCTGAAACACAGGCAGAAGGCTGCAAGTCTATAAACTGTGATTTAACTGATAGAAACGTTCACAATCAAATTGTGTGAGTCACAGATAGTCTCAGACTCAGTTGAAAACGTGATGTTTATACTAGCCGACAAATATGCAAACCACACACTCTAATGCTTATATATAGGCGCACTGATGTCTTTATCATTGATTATCATGATTATCAAAATTCAAAGATCAAAATTTGCCTGCGCGCAATGCAAAATGTAAACAAGACACGATTATAGATTTTGCATTATAAACTGTGTAAGCTGAGGGTGATGCAGAAATTCAGTTGGAGTAACTTCTAATATACATATATTATATTCGTACTTCAGCATTCAGTTTACTTCAGGCTATTATTACGTTAGTATTTATTTACGGAAAATTTAAATATTTCCCGCTAAAGTTAATGATAATTAATTAATGGTATAATAGACTTTATAGAGTACCTGAATAACCTCAAGTTTACATCAAGTGTCCCAATAAATCCAAATATGTACCCTGAGTAAAAGTCGCGGTTACCAAGCCTCCCACGGAAAGTGATCCCAAAAAAAATTTCTGCTACGAGTTATGTGCCTCTCGGATATTAGTCATACTACCGGAATTTTATCCGCGGAAAGAGAGCCAGTATAATTTTTGGCGGGAAAGTGTCACGTGCGATGGGAGTTTTAAATTTGAAATGTTTTGGAAAATGGCGAGCTGTCAATATGGATTTTAAATCATCATTTTGTTGCTTTGGTTTGAAGTTGGAATAGAGGAATACTTCAGTTTTAAAGGTTTGTATTTGTAGTTTATTTTTCCGCCAAAAGCTGCCCGATAAATCGCTATACAGAGTCACAGACGGTTAAGTTTCGATGTGAATTTTACAAAGTTTGCCTTGTTAGGAAACAAATACTCAATAAATTGTCAACAAAAACCTCTCGATTTGTATCGTATATGCAGGCAAATGATAGAAATATAATTTATCAAGACAATTTTAATTTACATTTTCAGGAATAATTTGATAAAATTAATAATTTATTACATGTTCTAGAAATTATTCTGCATGCAAATTTTAAATTGTTATATTAACAGCAGATAAAAGCAAAAAATATGCATTTATAGCAATACTTGGAAGGGTCAACTGAAGTTCACAGTAAAACAATCTGACGAACTCATGGGCATTCACTGCGGGTTACGGGTCCGGGTGAATGTTGGGTGTTTTAGACCACCTGTGAGGTAGTCCACACGACCACACCACTTTAAAAGCACTGTTTTGCAACACATAAAATATCAATGGGTTACTCCAAAAAACATCCATACCTCCACCACAAACGAAATTACAAGTGAACAGCCCTACCTCATTCGGACTTCCTTATGCACTTGCCAATATCTGAAACAAATTTTTCTCCCTTCCTTCTGGATGGCAGAAATTTCCTCTATGGGGAATAGCACAGATCTTTTCTGGAATAACCCAATGTTACCAGGCCTAATGTATTCACAATGCATTTTTAATTTAATATTGAACTATGTGTTAGACTAGGGTATATAAATATTTATTAACTGCCACAGCATGATCTTTTACTATCCTCTGTTAATAAAAGTTCAGGTGGTCCAACATAGCCAGTAACTTCTGTTGCAGATGGTGACATAAGTTCTGCAACTAAGAACCTTGGAAAACAAAAGAATAATTCAATATCCATCTGAGTGTGGACTATTAGATGTCTTGGGAAGTGTGGGGGGGGGGGGAGAGGGGAATAGTAGCTTTATCTAAATTCATGTAAGAATTTAGGGAAAGAATGAAAGCATGAAATATACAGAAAAGTATTCCAAAACATTTCTGCAAGCTTCTACATGATCTGGAAAAAAGTTAGACAAAGCTTCGTTCGAACTTAAAAAAATTCTTGCAAGGAAAATTTCTCCTCAAGTCAGGGCTTCAGAAACTTACTCCATTGTTTCTGCTACATGTTTGTCGTCTTTTACCGACATTTCTGTCCATCCTAGAAATTGATGCTCTTTACATAGATTATTGATTTCATCCTTGTCAATTTTCATGGGTAAATCAATCTGTTAAAAACAATAAAGAATTATTGAGAAAATACCATGCATCAGCCCATTGTGGGAATTATGCTATAAAGAAATTTTAAAAAATATTAAAAATAGTTGGAAATAATTCAGAAAGTTATTTTTTGAAAGGAAGTACATGTAATCTATTGTGCATTTCCCCCATATGTACTGTACAAATTCAAAAAATGTCTTAACTTTGTGTTGTGTAAGTATAACCACATAATAGTTTGTTTTGTGGAAACACCACATAAATTTATTACTGCAAAGCTTTTGATCCGTAAGCCTGGATCTTCATCAGTGCTAATAATATGAGCACATATCATATTATTAGCACTGATGAAGATCTGGGCTTACAGATTGAAAGCTTTGCAGTAATAAATTTACGTGGTGTTTTCACAAACAAAACTATTATATGTTTTATCGCCATGCAAACATACAAAGAACTTATATAACCACACTATAGAAAAGTATACTTACTTTATTTGCTACTAAAATGCATGGGATGTTTTTTCCACTGCTATTAAAACATTTTGAATCTAAATCTTTCTTCCATTTAGCCGCATTGTGAAATGAATTTGGTTGAGCAACATCGAACATTATCACACATGCTGACGCTCGTCTGTAATATACTCTTGTCATGGCCGTAAATCTCTCTTGACCTGAATTATACAAAGTTATGGTCATGTATAATGGATTGCTCTATCCAATGGACGTGATTGCCATGTGAGATACAGTAAGTTCTCTAATAATTCTTGTTAATTTTTGACAAGGTGTCACAAGTTGCAAAATAGTTGGTCAGACTCTTAATTAGCTCACTGTGATATAGTGTTAACGGTTGACTTCAGTGATCTGGATTCTTGCACTTCACTTGGTGGAATTAATATTAGAATGTTAGGGTAGTAATCCAAGTGAGTATATATACATTTTAAGACCTGACCAGGAACGACTGCGAAAAATGCAGCACTGCAGCTGCAGTTTTCGCAGTCGTTCCTGGTCAGGTCTTAAAATGTATATATACTCACTTGGATTACTACCCTAACATTCTAATGTTAACGGTTGACCTACTATGTAGTCCTACAGTATGTCAGCTTTTATATTTTGCGAAATATTGCCAGACAAATTTACCTATCAAGGGGAAATTGATGAGCACTAATGGTTAACTAATACCGTTAAACCACTGATCATTAAGCTAATTAAATACAATTAAAACGTATATTAATAACATCACTTTGTAATTTAAGATTGTAGACTGATCTCACAGCACTTCCACTGCCCTAGGGCCTGGGAGTGAAGTAATAGCTTTCAATTCCATTCAACTCTTACTATACCTAGGTTGATCTCAAATCTAAAATAAACTAACCTGCTATGTCCCATAGCTTCACAGTTTGACAATGATATATAAAGAAAATCAGAGAATATTTCAAAATGTTGTATTGTATATTACATTTTATTCCAGTGTATAGTGTGTAACACATTTCAGGCCCGGCCAGGGGTTTTGGGTTTACAGGTATCTTGGGCGTTTTATTTGAGGTATATGGTATCGGGACAGTTTAATTACGGGTATTTGGTATCTTGTTGAGACTTTAATTTTGGGTATTTGGTATCTGGATCTCCTTCAAATTTGGGTATATTGGTATCTGACCAAAAATATACCGGGTATTTGGGTTATCCTTAAACCACCCCTGGCCTTGCCTGACATTTCATGTATGTACCTGTAAGCGAACAGTTTGTGTCTCTGACCATGGGATTACTTTCAAAGCGAAGTCCACTAGTAAAAAAAAACACAACAAATAATATTAATGATTAACAGTAACATCAATATAAAAATCAATAGTAAAACAAACTCTCACCTCCAACTGTAGCTTTATAGTTTTTGTCGTACGTGGCATTAACGTAGCGCCTCACGAACGACGTCTTGCCCACTTCGGCATCGCCTACGACCAAGATTTTAAATAATATTTCTTTCTCGTTCATATTTTATTTAATGTCTCCAAGATTCCCTCAACAGCCATCTCATAATTTTCACTTTGTCACTTTGCCGTGATGTTTGGAACGTAGCGGAAGTGAATTTGTATGATAATTTGTGACTTTCGTGATCTCAGAATTCTCGAACGTTTACTAATTACTAATTAACTTACCTTTTGTTTTCATTCCATAACAACGGTCACGAGATCGCAATAAAATCACGAGATTGTGTGATGTAAACACAATAAACTGAATTTATAATACGGTAAATCCCCGTCTATAAAAAAATTCTTACATAACTGCATTAATTTGTCTTTTAATTAATGAGGCCCTGGGTGGATGGGTGGGTATGTTAGTATGTATATCGCCCGTCTGATTTTCAAGTCAAGTATTAAATCACAGAATAGTCTCTCCTCTGTTATTTTCAAAATGTTGCCACTTGAAAACATTGTTATGTTACTTTTGGAATTTCATTATTGTTTTCCTTGTGTCCGATGTCGCTATTTATTTTCTATATGTCGCCATTTCAAGGCAATGTCGCCTGTCGGAATTTAACAGGGCCTCTTTAATTATCATAGAATAAGGATGTCCTCCCCCGAGACTATTGTGACCAAGTCATGAGATTCATGATTCCCATGTGATTTAGTCACGATCTATCCTAACAACACGCAAAAGTCTATTTTCTGCGCAAAAAAGCGATACATATGTACTTTACATTTTGACTTAGTTTTCGATTTGTTATGCGACTGGACACGGCGGAAATGATGAGAACTTCCGAACTTGAGAAAATGACAGTTGCAACTTGCGAGGAGCAATAAGCCAAATTTAATAATTTAATAATAATATTTAATCAGGGGTTCATATCACCAAAGGTGTTTTTCAATGAAGCAAGATTGATCGCAATGTTGTAATACTCTTGGGGAACAGAACATCGGTTTGAGGTTTAGTTTATATTATTGAGTTTCTCGCTCACTCATTTGTTGAGCGGATTTCCCATCATTGTCCAATTGATATGGGATCCAAGCACCCTATCAATGGGAAAAGTTCCCTGCTCAAAAATAATACTTTACAGTTTGGAATTTAGGCCGCCTCTCTATGTGACTATGGGTTTTTGCCTGCGAGTTTCAAAACAAGTAATGTCGCCCCTTGAAAACATTAGCGAGCTTAAGATGCACGAAATCTACGACGCGGACGTGAAGAAAAACTGTAACTATTCCCACAGTTTCACTTCACAGATAAAAATTATGGCCTCCAGTTGGTAAATAAAGTCAGAGACACAAGTGAAGCAAAATAAAACTGGATTCCAAACATTAGCAACGGTTTTTGTGTCACGTCCGCGTCGTAGATTTGCTGCATCTTAAGTTCGCTATTGTTATGTGACTTTCGGAATTGCGTTATTGTTTTCCTTCTTTTCCATATCGCTGTCACACTTTCGACATTGTTCGTGTCCGATGTCGCTATTTTATTTTCTATATGTCGCCATTTTAAAGCATTAGGCAATGTCGCCTGTCGGAATTTACCCTAACAGGGCCTCTTTAATGGACCATTCCCCAATTAACAAAAATTTTGAACTCAACAAATCTAGACAAAAATTTCATCACAGCTTGAAAGAGCATCACAAAATTAGTAATATTCCAACGTTTCGTTGCAAAATGTTGTAAAATGCGGATAATATAGCCTTGCGAAGTTTGCGATTTTCAGTCATTTTAGATTACAAACGGGAAATGGTTACCACTTCTGTGCGTAATGGTAAGAAAATGGTGCGTAATGGTAAGAAAAGTGGTAACCATTTCCCGTTTGTAATCTAAAATGACTGAAAATTGCAAATTCAAGCAAGGCTATATTATCCGCATTTTACAACATTTCGCAACGAAACTTTGGAATATTACTAATTTTGTGATGCTCTTTCATGCTATGATGGAATTTTGTCTAGACTTGTTGAGATCAAAATTTTGGTTAATTGGGGAATGGCCATTATCATAAATTTGCAAGTCGAGATTGTCTTGTGCCATACGTTCTCTGAAATATACACATGCAGGAAAATTTATATTTGACTTGCAAAGGAAGTTTTTATTTTTCGACTTTGCTGCCAGAAAGAGAAATATATTTTCTTGGCCTAGTCATGTCTTTCATGTGATTTAGTCACGATCTATCCTTACCTAACAACGCGCAAAAGTCTTTTTCTGTGAAAAAAAGCGATACATATGTACTTTACATTTTGACTTTGTTTTCGATTTGTTATTACGACTGGACACGGCGGAAATGATGAGAACTTCCGAACTTGAGAAAATGACAGTTGCAACTTGCGAGGAGCAATAAGCCAAATAACCATTGTAAGATTTAATAATTTAATAATAATATTTAATCAGGGGTTCATATCACCAAATGTCCGGCAGCGCCCGCTGCCAGGAACTTTTTCACAAAATATTTTCGCAAGAAATTTTCTTACACCTTTCAGGAAATGTTTGTCATCTCATATACTGGATTGTCATATAATTTACTCGCTGTTTAAAAATTCCCAAAGCATTTTGCAAGTCGAGATTGTCTTGTGCAGAGATTGAAATCTACAGGGTGTTAGCCAGAAAAAAAAGTTTTGTCCGTTAAACGTAAATTGGGAGAGTTAAACACCAAGGTGTTTTTCAATAGCCCTATTCACATTAGAGACGGACAAGTCGTCTAGACGAACAAATCGTCTCTCAAAAATCGTCTTCACAGACGGACAAGTAGTCGAACAAATTCAGACGACTTGTTCGTCTAAAATTTTGTACGACACGTTTTCACATCTGATGATTTATCCGACTAAAAGACGATTTTGAGACGATTTGTTCGTCTAGACGACTTGTCCGTCTTCTAATGTGAAAACGGCTAATGAAGCAAGATTGATCGCAAATTTGCAATGGGGAACAAAACACCCGGTTTGAGGTTTAGTTTAGTTTATTGAGTTTCTCACTCATTAGTGAGCGGATTTCCCAACATTGTCCAGTTGATAGGGGATGCAAGGTACCTTACGATTTAACGTCTTTATCCGCGGAGAAGACGCGAAAGTCTAACCATTTATACTGATGCATATAAAGGTAGCTCTCTCTCTCCTCAGTTATTTTAAGACCTTGAGTAGAGGTCCGACCAAGCCAAGGGCAAGGATTGAATCGCCCACGACACCACATGAATGTATAATATTAATTGAATCAGTACATATATAGTAAGCTTTAATTAAATAAAAATAGTCGAGAATAATAAATTACTGGAGACATGGAAAACTGTGGAATTTGTAACGCTTTATTAACTCGTGAAAACAAAGCTTCCAAGTCATATTAGATAATCAAAAGCCAATTATCAGATAATTCATTTCATTTACTGATTTTGTTATTACAAGAATATTCAATGTCCATAATCTACTGCGACTTCAAGAGGGATATCTGCACGATATTTATCAATTTCCATAGTCTTCTTAAAAGCAGAATTAGGATCATGTGGACAACACTGTTGCTTGGATTTCTCGTCGTACGAATCCAACATTTTCACCGCGTCTGAGTCTAGGGAATTCAGTGTAGCATGGAGACGTTTGTACCCGGGGAATGGGTCCACGTAGCGCAGCTTCGTTCCAGAAGATCCGAGGTTATTCGGGTCCATGAATTGGCGGACTTTGTAGTGGGAGCCACGAACCGTTGAGCCCATGTTGTCCGCTAATTTCATTCTGTATTCTTCTCCTTTATTTTGCCAATCGTACCATATTTTGTCCATGAATGTGTGATGCAGCAGAAATTCTGGGGTGTTGCTCGCGGTCTCCAGTTCCATTGTGCCTTGGATGCAACAGTGGAGCTCGTTGTGGTAAAATTTCCGGATTTTTTTCTCGAATTGTTTGAACTGTGACGCATTTTTACGCAATGTGAGGTGAACAGCGACCACACTTGGCATTCGACCTATACAAAAACAGCAACGTACGTCAATAAGTGCAGTGGCGACAGCGCGGTCTTCAGTTGTTCCATCTACCAACTAAAGTTGTTTCTTTTTGGATTTATTAATTTGGTTATGGACGGGTTAGAGTAGGAGTATGGTTTGGCTCAGTTCATAGTTAATAGAGGGGATGGTTTGGAAACTCATTAGCATTACAATAAACCTCGCTATCTATGTTTTTGTTCAGGTTTATGCAAAAATGTGGTCTTTCATCGTCACGTGCGTATTGTATTTTTGCTCAACCAGCCAATAGCAACGGTTTTGTCCAATTGCTCATCCATGACTTTAATAATATATAGGACATTTTGAACATTCCTATTGGTTGACTTGAGAAAATACAATACGCACGTGACGATGAAAGACCACATTTTTGCATAAACCTGAACAACATAGATAATGAGGTTTATTGTGATTTTATTGTAATGCTAACGAGCTTCCAAACCATCTCCTCTATTAACTATGGTCAGTTGCATAGCCATTTAACACCTTTCAAAAATGACGTCACGTCAATTTGGCAGATGGAAACAAGGGTTATCGTTCCATGTTTCGCGCACCAATATAAGTTGGGGTTAGGGGTTAGGTTTAGGGTTAGGGTGTGTATATATGTTTATGGAGGTATCCAGTTGACTTTGCAGTACACTATAATATCCATTACATAACGTTTACTATATTGGTGCGCGAAACATGGAACGATTACCGAAACAAGTGTTGACCCGACAGCGCATCCAAATCGCAGATTAAGTATGACCTGGACAGGATCACTATACTTCAACAGGTGTCCAGTATTATCATGTGAGCAAGATAAAGCAATATGATTGGCTAATTTATTCATGAATTATTAATGAGTTTGAGATTAATTCTTCCTTGTTCAGATTCAACTGCAAGTTGTCGCGACGCAGTGCGCGTCATGTGCAGTCGAGACTCTATAACCTTTAAACTTGCGTTTGGAAATCTTTATAATCTGTTCTTGGCGATCCAAAGATCTTCTCATCATATATACCTGTAGTATGAGACCCCACAACCAAGCAATATTTTCCCGCCATATGACGTCAGCAACTATTTTCCCGCCATATGACGTCATAGAAAAAAGAATTGTTTGTGAACAAGTGACGTCATAGGGAGTGGCACCACCTAGGATTTATTTTTTGTGGCAATGATGAATGCGATGACGTCATAGGGTGGGTCTCATACAATTTATACCTACCCATAAATTTTCTTCTGAGGCACCCCCCTCCAGATTTTGGTGCCAAGCGCCACGACTTCTTACTAAAAGGACCTTTATCAACACAATTGAAGCTCCCAGTACCATTCCCTCCCAGACCCCAAGGATAATTATTCCACACGGACTTGCGCCCAATGTGCCACAGTTTTTGACTGCGTATGCTCCAATCCCAGTACGGTAAGGTGACACGGGAGTCGATTCTGCGAAACAGATTTTCAAATTGTAACAAATACCAACGGTGCCATGGGAAGAATTGTTTCTCGACGTGTACCTAGTATGCAATGAGAAAATTGAATTAAATAGTAAGTTAAGATTAAAATTTGTTCCCAGGAAAGGAGAACAGCATTGCTAAATGGTGCAATGATTGAGTTTATTTTCTTAAACGTAGGAGCAGTAAAAAGTTCCTTTTTAAGGTCCACACAAACCGGACGCGAATTGGCAACGCGACGCGAATTTTCAATGACATTTAACTCATGCAATATGTTTCATTGTTTTTCAAATATTCGAAATCACTTAAGCTATTTTAGCTATTTGGTCTGCATATCTTGTAAAATTTTTATCCGTTGACGGTTTTATTTGTTTTTAAAAACTGAAAATTCGCGTCGGCACGCCCTGCCTTCTTCTTCCGGTTACGCCACTGCTCTCAATCCGCAGCAAAAGCTAATCATACCTTGGGAAATAAGCTCTTATGCAGTCCAACTAGGTACTCGAAACGACGTCTGTAAGGTTGATGTCTTGATACATATTTGTAAACTCGGACGAACCGTGTTCTCTCCTTGTACGACATGGCTGTAAACTCTTTACGTATTCGCACATCTCTTCGTACTGAAAACTTGAGATCATTTTCTGAATGCAAGAAATCATAACAAACATTTGAATGGAAGAAACTGTATTAAGTTGCAATTTTCGCTGCGACGTCTAGTGCGATTTTCTTCTGCTGATGGATGTGAACGAGTGGATGAATTATGAATGTTCAGATGAGGATACATATACTCCAAACATTCATAACTCGTCTACACGCGTAAAAATTGAGAAAATCAAAACTTGTTCCAGGTTGATATCAACAGGCGTGAACAAGGTTGTGCAGCCCACTATGAACAGTATTGTCAACATGTTGTTACAGCATTGTTCAACTGTAACAACTTGGAACAACATGGTTGACAACTGGTTCATAGTTGGCCGCACAACATTGTTCACGCCTGTCGATATCAACTTGGAACAACCTGTGCGTTTTTAGCCGTGTACTCATTCGCATGCATAACAAGAAGAAAAATTGCAAATGTAAATGTTTCTTTTAAGGCCAAGACACACCGGGCGCGATTCGACAATGCGGCGCGATTTTTCAGTTTTTGAAAGTTCATAAACCAGCCCGAATGAAAAGAAATTTTAAAAGATATGTTGCCCAAATAACTCAAACGGTTATAGCGCTTCTAAATATATTTGGAAAACTAGGATCAAAGTTATCGGTCATTGAAAATCCGGAAAAATCGTGCCGCGTTGTCGAATCGCGTCCGGTGTGTCTCGGCCTTTAAAGAAACATTTGGAAGGCTGTTTGGTCCACTTTAAAGCTACTGCAGTATTTTTCCTGTTTTCAGACACTCGCATTCTAAACAAAATAGAACCGTCTGGCGGTTCAACAAACTTGTAAAACTAAGCTGACTTTATTTGTACTCAGAAAGCAGAAACAATAAAGATATCTACATATGTTTGTCTTATTTAATAATCATTCTTCTTAGAGTTCCAGAAAGGGGGAGAACGTGGAAAAATCATAAATTAAAATTTTAAACTTCATACTGCGTGCATGAGTCGAACTATAGAAACATTACTCCCACATACAGCTGAAGCAAAAATATAAGATTTTACACAAAAAACTTGTGTAAATTTACTCAACATTTTTTGCAGCGTATACAAAGCATTCAGGTTGCCTATATAGCGAGGCCTATATATAGCTATCTGAGCTTTTACATGATTTATGTGGCAAACGTTGAGTGTCGGCCGGCTTTGCTGTCGTCCAGTCAACTGGGCACTATAGCCTACATGAATAAAAACCGCTTGGGGTATGGGACAGTCTAAAGACAGTCGTTGACTTTTTCAATTCCACTTACAAAAATGAAAGATACGAGTAATGGCGGCAAGGATCGTTTGTGTTACCGCGTCATAAAATTTAGTTTAGTGTATATATGGTATTGGCAATGACCTTAACATGTGAAAAAAATTCTAGCATTAATTAACTGGAGCAGGAAAAGTATATCGCAGCTCTTACAAGTGCCCAAGGGCAACTAAGTTTCAAATATTATATCTTTGTTCACGTCCTTGTTAATACAAAGATTAACTTGCATCTTTGTATGCTGTTTACGTACAGGTCCAATATGGAAAAGATATGGGAACATTTTTAAAAGATCAAAGATAACTTTTTCCTTCCATCTCTTCTTTAAGGCCTATTTCGACTCAAGACAATTTTCCACGGGCAGAAAATTTTCCGAAAATATCACTGTTTCACTGACTTCAAAATTTTTTTCCGACGAAAAATTTGTGTCGATGAATCATATTTTACAAATTTTTCTTTCCGTCGGAAAATGTTCTTGAGAGGAAATGGGTCTTAAACGAATATTGAGTTTCAGTAGCAAAAGATTTCTTATTTCTCCCGGCTCCAGTTATTACAATATTTCCCAAAAATGTTATCAATGTCGATTGTCCAAGTCTATTTTTAAATTGTCTTATTTTAGATGGAGTATTAATAATGTTGGCAGTGTCAAGTTAACATTTTGGAGGCAGGGAATAATTAACTAACAGCTAGTGGTGGTCGCAATACGAAGGTGAAAAAATTGATTAAAAAATGCTGTTTTATAGGCCCCAGTTGCCTGGATACCGGATTCGGTTGTCACTACATCAAGCACTACAAAATAAGACATACAGAAGGTCGACTCGAGTAACCGCGGCCACGCCATGATTCATCATCAAAGTGCTGATGCCATGGTCCTAGCCAGTGCGCGTTTGAGAGGCATTCCCTCCTGGACGTTCGCCATTTTGAATAATATCAGGAGGGAGGGGTGAATGCCTCTCAAACGCGCACTGGCTAGGACCATGGCGTCAGCATTTGATGACGACTTACGGGTTACGCCAAAATCATAGGAAATTCATAAGAAAAACCAAGAAGTTGGCTTTCTGTGTACCTTATTTTGTGACTGCATGCAGGAGTAATGTTTGTCCACAAAATTCCCCCCTTTAACAGCCGTTCGTTTTATTTTGTCATATCGCAATTTAGCCTTAGGTATTCCTGAAACCGTTAATTCGACGTCGTGACAAGAGAATCCGGTATTGTGTAACCAGGGCCTTAATTAAGCTAGTTTCCATATTGTCGTAATGGTTGTAAAGATAGAGTTACGATCTCTCTCAACGGCCAGATTATCGAATAGTTTTTACCTGTAAATTACATATAAATCATAAGTATTCTCTAGATATAATTGCTCTGCCTATTTTCAGTTCTAAACTGTTGTATTTCGGCTGTTGAGAAAGATCGTGACTCAATCTTTACGACCGTCACGACCATATAGAGTCCAGGCTTTAGTATAATGGAGAACGATCACGTAGTCTCTACTAGCCAGCGTTGAATCAACGACTTTCAGTATATGGTATACAAATAATGAATGTTTGTCGCCTCGTTGAATGGAACATTCCATCTTTCACCGAATGAAAATATTCTTACCATTGCACGAATAAACATTCATTATTTGTTTCATATAATACCAAAATAGACTAAAAATTCGTATGAGAAGCATTTTGACCGATGCGATTTATCGAAAACACAAAGAGTGCAATGGAATAAAACGTATAGTACAACTGACACACGCAAAGAGCGCAATGGAACGTATTCCATTGCACTCTTGGGAAATGGAATTTTCTGTTCAATATCACGTGACCATGAACAGCCAATTAAACGATCAGAATTCAATAAAGTATTATATAACATAGGATAGACTCAACGACTTTTCAGCATTTAAAAAAAAATATTTTTTTTTACATTTTATGTAACACATAGTCACAGTCAGCAACGCATCCATTCCAGCGAAAAATGATTGCCGCTATATCTATATAGGCAGTATACATATTACATCATATTGTTACATCACGTTAAAAACATGATACTCTGATACGCTTGCCAAGCCCAAAGACTGACATTTCCCGCTTTATCGTATAATCTTACAGCCGAAAGAGCAAGATTTTTTCAATTTTCAAGACTTCCTTTCAATCCAAAGATAAAAGACTGAAACGAATCTTTGACCAGCGATTGCGGAAAATCTAAAACAGTGACTTCACCCCGGAAAGAGGTTTTCTACCGTCTAAGGTTTACATTTTTTTCAGCGATTTGCCTCCAGAAAGAGAATTTGACAATGATTGAAAAGCGATCAGCTATATAATATAGGTTGCAGTTTCAACAGTCGTAATCGTGAGAGTTTGAAAATGAGGTTACTTAGAGATTACAAGATCTGCCTCAAAATTACAACAGGAACTGGTCTCCAAATTTCGAGCGAAGAGTTTACATGTCAGAAAGTTTAATTAAGTTTGTTGTAATGAAACAATATATAGAACATGATTTGCATATCCCTCTGACACATTTTGCCATCCAAGTTTTATCGTATCACTCCTAGACACATTTTGCCATCAATTATAATCATTAATGAATCAATTTTTATTTGCTCATATGATCACATTTAGCACAGATTAAAGAATAAAAAGTTATCTAAACATAAGAACTATATATGATAATTAATATATATAGAACATTTTCATATAAGAGTTTTCCCGAAGAAACTTCTAGTTATAATTTATGACCGTAACATCCATTCTTTATGCCATTTTAGCCACGGAAATACACGATCATTTAGTAATACTAACTATAGTTACCTGCATCAATTGGGACACTACTCGTCACTCGCCACGATAATCCTACCAACACGACAACACAGAGAATAATAATATTCACTGAAACCATTTTTTCTGCATCCCGCACAAACTCAGTCCACCATACAATTGAGTGCTGTATTCTTTATCAGTGTAAATATCAGACTATCTACTACAAGTGTGTGTATATGATTAATATATAATATATATATATATATATAGTTGAGGCCTCGACGAAACAGACTACTCAAGTTTTTTTATGTATTAAATACACATGAAAGAAACTAGGATATTTCCGTCGTACTGTTCGTTGCTATGGAGTATTGATGGCAGAATCCTGTGTAATATCAAAGGGATAATAGAGTGGGCCAGTTCTTTACGAAACAAAGAGATAGAATTCCTCATTCTTGCAAATTAAACTTTCCGTGTCTCACTGCATGCCTTGGTGTTAATCTTGAATTATAAAATATCTGCACTGCTGTGTGAAATAATTGAGGCTTGCTGGGCGGCTGTTCGAGTCACTCAGGATCTAAAATATAGCAGAGATTGACGTGGGTAGGTCCCTAGTGAGCCCCAGGCGGAACCATAAATATTGAATAAATCGGTTATTAGTACAGTACAATACTGCACCCACACAATCACTCAAAATTCACTTTTAAGAGTAGACTTACTCAATTTTTTTAGTAAAGTTTCAAAGTTACTCAATTTTTTGAGGAAAGATTTACTTGCTCATGAAGTTGAGTGATTTTACTCAAAAGTTTCAGTCACTACACGTATAGGTGTGCATTATTTTACCCAAGTTTTTGAGTCGAAGGTTTTGCTGTACGAGGACAGCCTCGTCCACAGGCTCCAACTCGGATTCGTAGATGTTAGAGAGCGTAAGCTTCGCGTAAAAAAGTACGCGGCAAGGCCGAATTTTCTTGGCACAATTTTCGTTCGATTTCTGCGTGTCATATTTTCTTTCGTATGATACAGGAATAGTTAAGTATTCTAGTTATAAAACAACACGCCCATTTACTTTTTATTGCTTTAGAGCGTAAATTTTTTCTTTGCCTGACGTTTGTCGCTGAACGCGAAGCTTTTAAGCTTAAAAGCGCTTTAATGTCTTTCCTCCCACAATGAAGACGTGACAAAAATCAGTGAGTATGTACGGTATTTCGCAATATATATAGCGCAATCGTCGGCTAATTTCCACCAAGATTAAAAGCGAGAATAAAAAATGCGAATGCCGGCAGAAAGGTCCATATAGGACGAATAATATATGTCCATATAGGCCCGCAGTAATTGGCGTTGTGCTGTTGTGAAAACCCTGCCAGAATTTGTAATTTCTGTTACGGCAAAGTTATTAAATTAAATTAAATTAAAAATAAATTAATACATTGCGTAAGGTGTGTGTGCAACATTCAATCCATATAGACCATATAGTTTGCATTCGAATGAAAACAAAAAATTCATATATTTATATGCACTGGGGAAAAAAAAGTGAAACCATACTATGAGATTTGCAATTGCACCACTAAATTCATAGTATATCCATACTATATTTCCATACTATATCCATAGTATGATTAAAATATACAATTTTTATGGATAATCAAAAATCCATTCTATTTGCAATAAAGGTCCATACAATTTCCATTCTATGGATTTTCACCTTTTTTCCCAGTGATGTTCATATATGCACTAGTTAAAACATGAGCAGCCGCGATCTTTATCTGATATAATTCAGTATCCGATTTTTAATAATGATTGTTGCATGCAGCCTAAATAGACAATTCCCATTATAGACTAATTTTAAAACTAGGCAAGGAGATGCAAATAAATCACCACAGCTAGAAAGAGCATACTAAAATTAGTAAAATGACAAAATTTGGTTGCGAAATGTTGTAAAATTTGGAAAATATAGCCTTGCAAAGTTTGCAAATTTTGTATACTTTTGTATTGCGTGCGACATTTTCGGCCTAAATGTGGTAGGAATGTGGTAGGAATTTCCGCACGCAATACAAAAGTATACAAAATTTGCGAACTTTGCAAGGCTATATTTTCCTCATTTTACAACATTTTGCAACCAAACTTTGTAATTTTACTAATTTTAGTATGCTCTTCCTAGCTGTGCTGATTTATTTGAGTTTCCTTGCCTAGTATTAAAATTAGTCTATAGTGGGAATTGCCTATTACGGGTTTTACGTGGGAATCAACGTTTCCAAGGTGACATTTGGCCTTTCTAAAACATTTCCTTTTTTAATTAACCTTCTATGACGCTGATACAATGATCACTTTGTTCTTACTTAACTGAAAGTTTAAATGCTGTGGGGAGAATATATAAAATCAATTTTAAAGCCTGTTTTAATACACTTGCAATTTTTGCTGCGATTTTAGGTGCGATTTTCGTCTTCTGATGGATGTGAACGAGTGAAAGAATTATGAATGTTGAGATGAGGGTACATGTACTCGGAACATACATACTCATCTACTCGTTCACATCCATCAGAAGGCGAAAATCGCACCTAAAATTGACCATTAATTTGCGTAATAGACTAAATTTTGAACTAAACAAGTCTAGACAAAAATTTCATCACAGCTTGAAGGAGCATCACAAAATTAGTAATATTCCAAAGTTTCGTTGCAAAATGTTGTAAAATGCGGAAAATATAGC